GTTGAAAGAGAATTACTAATTCTAAGAGATGAAGCTTGTGAAGCGATTAAATTATGATTAGAAAAAAGATTAAATTTGCTTACAGATAAATGATGATGCTTGGGTGCATTTCTTTTCGAAGGAACCGGTTTCTTTTCTTCTTTCGCTTTCTTTTTATCGTCTTTCGTCATATAAATTGATTTCTACACTTTAACACTGGATTTTCGTTGACTTCTGGGGTTGAACAGCCGTAGTTTTCCCTTGAAGTTGGTAGGTTCGTAGCGGGTAAATGTTTAAGAACGACGAGGATCTTCTGTAGACTCTCTCACTATCTTACTGTACTCTGCCACTTAAAGGTTTGAACTCGCGAAGGTACTTTTTAAAAAGACCCTTTATTAACTTTTACAACTATACTGCACTGCTTTATTGATTGAAAATAACTAACTTTAATTACAATACAATTTCTTTTATATAAAAATTAAATGCTGACAAAGTGTTGATTGAGTTTGCTGACCTCCGGCGTTACTGCACCGTAATTTGCATGTGGCTTGCATTATTTACTTCGTACCACTGCTACAAATTATATTAGTAGAGGAAGAGTGGATGTTTAAAATATGGTTACTAGAGCGATTTCTTTAGGATCGTGGAGAACCGGAGAAGTAACAACCCTTCGAATAAAGCCGCAAAAATCCGAGACACTTTTGCTGACTACTTTGTGGGCTTCGGTTCACTGTCGTGGCAAAATGAAATGATTTATTAAGGACTAGTACAACAAAATGTATGTTGTTTAAAAATAAAAAAATATTATCTACTTAACATGTTTGATTGGCTTTTTCTGCCTCCTCCCATGTTTCCCATATTCTTAGAAAACTATCAGCATATTTAAACCAAACTATTTATATATATATATATATATATATATATATATATATATATAATATATGTAATATATATATATATATACATGTATATATATATATATATATATATAATATATATATATATATATATATATATATATATATATATATATATATATCCTCCTCCTCAGTCCTAGTCCCTTTTGGGATGTGGTAACACCATCAGGCCTTTACAGTTTTTTCACGATTTCCCTCCATCCTTCTCCTGGGCTAAGTTGTTCGGCTTCATGTAACCCTTGGTTATATATATATATATATATATATATATATATATAATATATATATATATATATATATATATAAAGATTGTTTCTCGAGATGGCTTTCATTTTTCAAGAAAAAGAAACCATTAATAAAGAGACAGATACCAACAATTTAAGCAACTTATACTCATGATTGTTAACTTTAGATGACCACAAATCTACCAATAAAGGTAATTCATCGTCAACAGTATAAGTTTCATTATATATGAGATATATAATATCTCTTCTACTTCAAAATAAGTCTTTTTGCCTCTTCTTCTTTTTTAGAAAATTCAGCATCTATTATGTATACTATTACCTTTACAGTGTTATCATTTTAAGATCTAACGTTTTGTGGTTTTAAGTTGGTATTAATGAATTCATAACCATTTGTTTTGTTTCCATCGAGTTCGAATCTAGATTCTAACTCGATGTTTGTTTCTAATAAGAATATTTATAACCTAAATCTTACATTATGACTACATGGGCCCTGATTTTAATTGAGATTTCGACTCAAAACATGTCGAAATTACTATGGCGACGTCGAAATGCGACTTTGCGAGCCTAGTGGATTTCAGCTGAACTAACCAAAGGACGTCACTAATTTTCGATTTATCGAAATTAATTTCAACTTCAAGAAAGTGGTTGACATTTCATTTCGAGTCGAAATTAATGTGCCATGACTGACTGGACTGGGTGAAGAAGTGAGATTAGGTTCAGTTTAGGCGGTGTTGTTTTGTTTGATTCTTGCAAGGAAAACTGAGGCAAAAAGTATTAATATGGCTGCGTTTTATGAGAAACTATGTGATTCGGTACACAATTGGTCGAAATTTTGACACCTATAAAAATAGAACTGCGGTACCTGGGGGCCCCAAGTCAGATGCTACTGATTATTTTTTAAAATACTGTGGTGCAAAAATTAAAGAAATAAAATGTCCCAATATTAAAACTAAATTGGAAACCACAATTTTTGAAGATATTCAACAGGCTGTAATGGAAGAGAGAAATAATAAATAATTTGGTTGTAATAATTTATTTGTTCTTTTTACAAATTATGTGTTTGAATGGCATGCTCTTGAAATTGTACTCTCTTATTTGGAGATACAAAATAATCTTTAAACTCATCACGAATTTTTAGAGCGGTTATGTATTGTTTTTAGTAATACACCTCCTCCTGCGTTCAGTAGTTCCGATGCTATTTGATCCTATCACTGTGATTTATTGTTTTTCATTTTGGCTACTGCTGTTCTAATCTTGGTTATTGTTGGTGCCTGGTGGGCACTTTTCTCTGATGTCTGCTTGGTCTAATTGTATATCAAAGTTCTCCTCCAGTCGCCATTATGACAAAAGTTTTATGTTTTTGCGCACAAATTGGCGCATTTCTTGTAGAAATGCGCCTTAAGAAGATTGTTACGGGATACTCAAAATCCTTTTTCACTAAGTGATGCTCAATTTAGGCAGCAATTCCGCCTGAATAAACAAGCTGCAAATTATTTGATAAGGATATTCGAACCATATATGGAGGAGGGTGTTTATGCCTCTAGGAGACCCAAAATATTTAGGATAAATATTACTAAGCTGCAGTAAATTTAAAAATATAGAATATAACCACTAAGTCAAAAGCCACCATAATTTCTTTGTGGTCCACAGACAATTTAGTGCCACCATCACCGACAGCCTCTCCATCCATTTTCTTTCAATTCAAAATATAATAATTGAGAATGGCCACTAAAAATTTAACAACTCAAACAAGAAACAAAAGGCGTAATGTAAACAAAACAAACCTCGTTGTGCAGCGTGCAGCCAATAAACAAACCGGCCAACCCAAATTCTGAGCAGTGTCAAAATGATAAAGTAAATATCCCCACTTTTAACTAAAATCAAAATGAATGAGAATCGCTAGCGATTGCGACTGTCATGGCGTAGTCGCTTTTAAATTTCGACATCAAAATGAAATAGAATCAGGGCTATGGTCTGTAATTGTTTTGTAACGTAATTTTATGTAAATGTTTATACATATGTGTTTTTAAGTATTTTTAAATATGTATTTTGTAAAAGAACGTTTTTAAAACAAAAAAAACTGTTTTCGCTATCATTTGTGGGATTTAGATGAGTTGTCCAGTTAAATTTATAAACACCATGACAACTAACCTCAATTAGTGTAGGATACAAAATACTTTTTATTCTGTAATTTGTACTAAGTTTGTTTATTGTAGCACCCTGGTGATGCAAATAAAGATTTGCGAAAGCTTGCTAGACTAAAAAGAGTACCTCTTTGTCTTATTTTCTTATTTTGCGCTGCATACCCAAATAGTTGTGTTTGTATTATATATATATATATATATATATATATATATATATATATATATGCTTTCTGTAGTTCTCCTCCATTATTTATTATTTTGATGACGTTTCGGCAAGGACGCACTTGCCATTGTAAAGTCCGTTAGTAGCGCTTCTCGCTGATGCTTGAAGTTAACTGACTCTCCTGTCTCTGGTCGATGCATTTACTTTTTTAACCCGTCGACCAGGAGTCGATGCATGTTGTCAGGTCCAGAACCACTGGTGATTTAAATACTTTGGTCAATTCACGATTATATGTTCTAATATTTTTGATTTTATTTTTTAAGTAATTTTCGGATATTTGGCGTCAAAAAATTCTGGGTGAATATTAAAGTGAATTCGATATATACTCCGTCCACCTTATCCAAAAGGATAATGGGTTAAACTGATATTTTATTCAAATCTCACCGTATAGCTTCCCCTGAATAGTGTCAGACCAGCACGAGCATAACGACTTAAAAGTTTTTAATACTTTATGAGTGCAAGTAGAAGAGTTCAGGAAATGAAAAATAGACATTTACAATAGAATAAACAAAATTCTAAAACGACGCTTGTTTATAGCCAAAAAGCTGTCATTTCCATTTTCTACAATGTGTGCTAGTGTTTTAAAATTTCATTTTCACCTTTTAATGTGTATTTAAATATCCTCATTTGTGTAACGTATATTTTAGAGGGTTGTCTGTGAAGTTTTTCCTAATAATTGTGAAAAATAATCCAACAATTTCGAAATAAGGTCTTTTTTGAAATATTCGCCTACTGCATATGCCCAAACCAATTCTGGAAACATTTGCTTCACCCTGAAGCTGATATCGTAGAAATATCGTTTGAGTGATGAAAATCGCTGAAAACTCATCGTTTTTTATGTGGGTAATAACAAAAGTCATTTAATCAGGTGAATGAGACATGTCGATGATTTTCTTCTATAAATATTCACTTATTTGACTTGCTATATTGGAACTCATACTGTCGCGGTGAAGAACGATGCGACATTTTTGTTGTTTTTCCTTATTTTATTAAAGACCGTTGCCAAACAAATTGAATTGTTGTATACATACCATTCAGTATTCAAGCAATCAATTTAATTAAACCCAGCTTGTGAGGTATGTTCACCCCTAAGAATTACGTTATTTCAGATAACCATAATATAAACAGATATTTCTTTATTTGTCTGTAAGTCACATGCCGATCTTCCTTAATGAAGTTGTGAATAGCATCGATGGTTCTCGGAGTAACAACCGATTTCGGTCGAACCTTATCACTGAAGGGCGCATGACTACGATAGAATTGTGCAAAAAAATTATTGTAGATGTATACTATTAAAAACCTACTTGGTCAATTTCCAAGTTAACGCTGGCTCGATGGTAGTTTATTGTTGACAATGTTAAAAACGTGAATGTTCAGGAACACGGTGGCGACACATCCCAGTAACGCCATCTATTATGCGATTGTAAACACTTAAAAATCAAGTCTCTTATACCTATTTAACCGTATAGATAATGCTGTTATTTTGTTCTAGTTGGCGAAAGAGATCTGGAAAATTTACACACATTTTTCGGAGAAACATTAGTTCTGGCCACAGAATTGGTAGATAAGTGTAAAATAATTGAGTACAAGTTGCAAGATGGTATTAGAAACGTATTTAAAATAATCTCTTATAATGATCAATACACTCTCTACGACAATATTAATTTTTGTCATTGTAGCTATTTCCGATCACAAGTTTTGGAAGCAAGAGGCGCCATAACGTGTAAACATGTTTTGGCGGTTCGATTAGGAAAAATTATTGGAAAAACTTCAGAGGAGATTGTTACACCATCACAACTGGTAGATTTTTTAAACGAACAAATCAATTATATTGGCTATAATAATGAATATTGAAAATTAAAGATTTTTAAAAACTTTTTTGTTCGTATATTTTAAACCTTTCTGTTTCTTATTCCGGCTCTTATTTCTCAATTTTACCTGATACTGGTTTATTTATTTAATTATCAGTATCAGGACGTATTATATACAAAATATGGTATGGTGTAAGGGAATAATCATTTCTAGGATTTATTTTCAACGGGGGCGTGCTGTGTATGGAAGCAAGAGAAGCACTGTTTCCCTAATTAGTCCCTATCTTAATATCTTTAGCTTTCCTGTTCGTAATTCTACGTTTGGTAGTCGGAGTTATTTGGGGATAATTTACGTTCAGAGTTGCTTCTCCTGCCTTATGTAATAATAACTTGGGATATGTATCGAGAAGCGAAGGTTAAGTTGACCGTATTTGTCGCTTTATTAGCAACTGTGGCAATTGATTATGAAGTTTTGGCGAATTTAAATTTTGAGATTTACCACATCGTTTGACAATGGCGTCTTCGTCGACTGATTTTGTGGAATTAGCTGTAGTGTGTAAAAGTGTAGTATGTTTGTTATTAGCGGTTATTATTTAGTTCGTTGAATTTTGGTGAAAATGGAACATAATTAATAAAAGTACTATATCATGTTTACAGGGCACGAATAGAGAAAACGATAATATTACAGCTGTGGTATTATCCCTAAAATATTACAATTCATATAAAGAATAAGTTAAAAGGAACGTGTAACACATTTCGCATTTGTTTGTATATAATATGTTTTTAATAAATCGAATCGAGGACATTCATAAGAAAGAGCCTCGGTTAGAATGTGTAAGTCAGCAGATTTGTGAATCGCGAACTTGTTGTTGTCGTAGGTTGATAAAACAAACTTGGCCCACTAATGAATGACTGCTGATATAGCAAGGACTATTATAAAAGAGATAACAATTATTATCTCGTGGATCAGAACTAAATTAACGTCAAGATGGCAAGTCGATATACCACGTATGTGTAATTATGAAGTAGTCTCAGAGCAACGCCAATTAAGTACTAATTACATTTAAGATAAGTAACATTGTAATAGTGTACAGTAGTGTTTTAAATGAACGTACCATATGATACCATAAGCGAAGCTTTATTTATTACACAGCTTTCTTCGATCAATAGTTTTAATATTTTTAAATTAACTATTCCTATCTTTTATTTTGTTCTATTTTTAATATTAAAACAATCTGACTTAAAATAATAATAATGATAATTACTATTATTATTCAAAATAATAAAATAATTGATAAATGAAGCTGAGGTATTACTGTTTTTTTAAATAAATTTAGGTCGAAGCCTGAAATTAAAAATCTCACTACCAAAATACAAACTTACATCAGACATTTTAATTCGGAAAAATCTTACCAACAATACGAGTGGTTAACTGGTCGTGAATAATCTGGTGTAGAATAAACTCTTTTTCTGGTGTTGTTTTCTCTTTGTGAATGATAATGGTGTTTGGAATCATAGAGGTTTTGACGGTTTAAACAATTTTCATGTCGTTTCACTAGGTAGTGAAACTGTGTTGTTAGCCTAGTTTAAGATATAGGTGCCGGAGTTAGACAATATTTTGAACACAGTCCTAACAAAACTTCATAAGGAAGGTATTACACTAAATAAAAACAAATGCTCTATAGCAACAAAAACAGCTAAATACTTGGGTCATATGGTCTCTGAGCAAGGGATATTAATTGATCCAGATAGGGTTAAAGCTATCCGTGATTTTCCTGAACCAAAAAATAAGACCGAGCTGTCAAGATGGCTGGGTATGATTAATTTTGCTGCAAAATACATTCATAATAAATCTGAGATTCTTGATCCATTAACACACTTACTAAAAAAAAATATTAACTTTTTGTGGGGTCCAGCACAAGATAAAGTTTTCAGCACTTTAAAACAAAAGTTAAAGAGACCTCCAAATCTAGCGTTTTTTGATGCTAATAAAACCATAATTGTTAGTGCAGACTCAAGTTGTTTTGGTATAGGTGCATGTCTATTTCAAGAAAATGTAGATCATACTCGGGAAATAGTGGTTACATCTAGGCTTCTGAACTCAGCTGAAACACGATATGCTCAGATTGAGAAAGAAGCTCTTGCACTTACCTGGACAGCAGAATATTTTTACGATTTTATTTCAGGAGTTCCTAACCTAATTTTGAACAGACCATAAAACTTTACTACAAATTCTGCAAACTAAAAATTTAGATGAGTTAACGCCACTTTTGCAAAGATTTCGAATGCGCTTAATGCAATACAAGTATACTGTAATCTACACGCCGGGAAAAAAATTAATTGTAGCAGATACTTTAATTCGGGCCCCTTTACAAACAGATACGTTAGCTAATAACCCAGTAAGCATAAGTACGTACATAAGACATACTAAGTACGTACTGATGCGACATAAAGTACGTACAATGTACGTACTTTGCTGTACCAAGTACGTACTTAATACGTACATAAAACGTACATTTTCCAAATCTGGAAGTACGTACCTGGTACGTACTGAAAGTACGTACCTAGTACATATTGAAGGTATGTACTTAGTACATAATATATATGTATATATATATATATATATATATATAATATATATATATATATATATATATATATAGGTATATATATATATATATATATATATATATATATATATATATATATATATATATATATATATATATACCTATATGAATATTTAGCATGAAGACATTTTGAAATTTTAACGGACCACAAACCGTTAATTATATTATTTGGAGAGTTTAGAAGTTTATCAAAGACGGCAGCAGAGCACGTTTGTGAATATTGTGTATCTTTTTATTTGGTTTTGATTATACTCTTAAGTATATTAAGGTTGATCTGCACCCCCCGAAAAATAAACTACAAATTCAAAAAATTTGAAAAAAATTGAGAAGGTATATGTGACAATTAAAAGTATTTTGACAAAGTTTGAACAAACTTCATGTTTTCGTTTTCGAAAAAACTCTAAAAAACTACTTTTTTCCAAGTATAAAGCGGGAAAACCAGACATACAATTTTGATAATTTTTTTTACAGCATACAGATATAACCCTAAGAAATACTTATGAATTTTTTGAAAATTTTTGAATTTACAGTTTTGTCACTACGGGAAAAAATGTTATGTTCCGGCTTATAATAAAGCTACCGGTAAGAAACCGGAAAAAAATTTAATAACAACATATATAAAACTGTAAAAGTGGAATATATTTGCAATAAAACGTTGAATATTTTTTCCTAAACATAATGAAAAATCTCGTTAAATAATAATTATATCTTGAATTGCCGGCATCAAATTGTATACTAGAGAGGTGGCTCCATCTCAAACGTTGGTAGTATTTATCATCGATAGATTGCATTACTTTCGGCCTCGAAACGCTTCAAGCGAATCGTCATACTAGCAGGGTTGCCATATCAATTATTTTGTACAACACTTTGACAAATTACAACAAGATTTAATAAGAATGTTATCGGTTTGAATGAATTTTATTTGGCATGCTAGAACTTACAGAATAGTAGATACTGTACTATTCCATCTACAAGTAATATATCTATAAAAAACGTATTTAGTTTCTAAAAACCTATTTAGGCGTTTTTAGTTAATTATTTTAGTATTTATAAACAATAGTCTTGCTTGCATAACGTATTAGTGATAATTTTTATATTATAATATAAGCATTAGTTATTCTTAAGTAATTCACATTTGTCAACTTGTATTTTAAATCTTGTTTCTCTTAATTTCTCAAAAATCTTCTTAAGATTTACCATATGTTCTTAAAGTGAGGTTGAAAATGTCCCTGTAGACTAGATATATTTCGCCTGTAAGTCTTTTTATTATGTTCTCCATTACCTACTCTCTAAAATGTTGAGGGTGCATTTTTGAGTCCGAATGGCATTCTCAGGCATTCATAGTGGCCATTTTCAACGTTAAGTCTTCCAGTTAAGTTCCCTTAAGTTATGCAGTCTTCCAAATATCTTCTTCCTTCATTTTAATTTGATGTAATCCGCTGGCTACAACTGGGTGGAAAAATATTTGCAGCGACCTAGTTTGTCCAAAATGTCTGTTATATTTGGAATTGGGTATAGACCATCGATGGTTTTCTTGTTCACCTTCCTGTAGTCGACAACCATTCTCCATTTAATTTTTCTTGGGCATCTGGTTGCTTTGGAATGACCCACATTGGGGACGACCAGGGCAATTGTCTCAGTTTGATGATTTCTTGATCGGTCATCCTTATGGATGTGTGGATACCGATTTGACTTGGTGTAAACCGGAACTTCATCTCTTGTTCGTATATGATGTTTTATTTGATTAGTAAATGTTAACTGACGTCTGAATAATGAAATATGCATGATGCAAACTTCCTGCACTGTCGTTTTCGGTAATATTCTTCTATTGTATTAAAATGATCGGTTCTTAGGAAAGGATCGACATCTCTTAGATTTATTGGTTGACTTTTGATGGGATCCGTTATTGCTACTTGAATATATTCATCGGTGTTATTGACTAGCTCGGTCCAGGCAAGTTGATTATATGCGACGGTGAGAATTTCTCTTAGGATGGCACCTTCGACTTCTTGTTTTTGGATGACGATTTTACCTGATGTTTCTTTTACTGTAAATTTGACTTGTATAATTCTTTAGGGCTCTTGGTGGACTATATAGAATTGGGCTTTATTTGTGGCATAGTAATTAATAGGAAGAATAGAATGCGCTGTAGTAAGAGTAGCTTGGGTAGAATCGAGATTTGTTTTAAGAAGCCTTAAGATTAAGACCATCAAATGTCTTGTAAGCTTTGCAAATATAAAATTTTAAGTTAATATTTGAGTTAAATTCGGAAAAAATTGGAATTTCTACACAATAACCTTCTGAATGATTCAAAAAAATTGATGTAGCAACTGGTTCATATTTAATATTATTTTTGGGGAATTTATTTGTTATATCAGGATCATGGATGGATGGAATTGTTGATCCTAAGACCTGCCAAAAATATGGT